GCTTCAGGGCCCCATGCTGCGGTGGGAGTGGCCAGGCCACTAAGAATTAGTGGTTCCTGGAGCACCAGACCGCACCAGACAACATTGAACATTCAATGTCCAATATTGACCAGGCGCATGGCAGGCTGCTTGCGGCTGCTACCAACCAGACATGGGAACGCAACTTTTTGACTTGCCCTTCCTTAACAGCACACCCCAAGTCCCGCCCAGTGGGACGCGACCTGCTCAAGTATACTAACTAGGTGCCCAGTACCTAGGCACAGAAAGCCATCAATTGAATCGAGGAACTTGGCAGGCAAGCAATATGGAAACCTACTACGTACCTGCTACCCTAAGTACCTAGGTACCTAGGAGGTAGCAGGTAGTGCCTTAGGTACTTAAGTAGTTTCTGGTGTACCAAGCACCCGACATTGAAGGACATGGAAACATGCAGCTCCAGTGTCTTACATTGCCCAAGGAGAAAGGGCACAAACTGTTGCCCTGGCAAACATTTCTAAAGTCAGTAAAGTACTTAAGTAGGTACCAAGTATCTAGTACTTGAGCACATACTGTGCTCTGTGCTTTAGCCATGCCAGGCCTAAAATCGGTACAAGCACCTCGTCCTTCGATACACTTGCCATTAACATGGCCAGACAATTTTGAATACTACTTAGTACCTAGGTACTTAGGTAAAGTAGGTTTCTTAGAACCTCCGTCTCTCCAAGAACAAAGAAAAATCCAGACCTTGTTTCACCTACTACCATGCCATCAATCTGATTTTGTGCCTCCCCCATCCCGGCCTAGCCCACCATCTGTCAGTGCCATGCATGCGGGTTCAGACATGGAGGCTTACACTCCACAAGAAGCACGCCGATGCAGCAAACTACTGCCGTGACTAGTTTCTCCGTGTGCCGTAATAAGGACCAGACTCCATAGGTGCGTTGGGGTGCGTTGGCCGCGCCTCGTGCTACCCAACTGCTTCATCTTGTCTGCCTTGGACGTTCGCTGGCTTTGCTGATATTGATTTGTACTGCGCCCCTTCAACCCTTCACCCTGCATGCAGCTGGAAAGCGGCCAACAGGGCACACCCTGCTCGGTTCGAAAGTTATCTATGTACGGAATATTAGCTGATGCAATCAATTGGCTGTGAAACAAGTCGGCCACTTACGAATGTCCGTGGATAATCCTGCGCGGGGCGTGGGAACGGCACAGTCGACATGACAAGCTACGAGAACGCAAGTAAGAAGAAGAGAGAGAAAGAGAGAAAAAGAAAAGAGTCGAAACAAAGAACAGGGTATATTTCGAGGCGTATAGGTTTTGAACCAATCAACCAAGTACACCGCATTATGCAGCTACTTGAAAAAACTTCCACATGAGAAATACCAACAAACAGAGAAGAGAGCTTTCTCCATCCTGTCTAAGCTTTAAATGAAAAGGCGTCGTCCGTCATTCCCCCAAATGATGCGTTCCATGTCATGCCCAGGTATTTGATCTCCTTATGTGTCCAGCGGACATAGCCAACAGCCTGACTTGATAAACTTAGTGCAGCTCTTGCGGTGCATCCAGATCCACAGCCTCGACCATGCTCCTCTGGACTTGACTCCTGCCCACTAGCTCGTGGAAAAACTTGGCAGCTTCTTCACTTTCGTGTCGGACTTTGTCAGCTTCATCCCGTTTGTTACCTAGGTCCTTGACACTTTGGTCGAGGCCGACGCGGAGACTGTCAGCTGGGAAGCGCAGGACCTTGCGGACAGATGAGGAAATTCGTGATGAGTTGGCATGGATGTAGTCTAGTTCAGCCAGCTGCGAAGAAATCTTGGTGGCGAGCCTGGGGGGTAGGGAGTTGGGGATCTGCTGTAAAACGTAGGCGGCCCCAGCGATCGCTGTCTCAATGTTAGCCAGGTGGCATGGAGGGCGAGTATATTGCTTCTAGTTCACTTACCAGCAATGACAATTCCAGGAACAATCAATTGGCGGAGGTTCTCATTGCTCAACAACCGAGTCGTCAACATAGCATGATCCATCCAGTTACTCATGCCAAGCATTCGAGGCACGACAGCGCCCGCTACCGTCAAGGCCATGCCCGTACCTGCAAACTTCTCCTGGCGTTGCAACAGAGTCGACCAATCCACGAAGTCCCAAAGCTCAGTTGGGATATGAACCTGTCGTGCAAGAGCATCACGCTTTCTCCGGAACATGACGTCTGGTCGGAACTGTAGGTTCTGGAACTCGTCCCCAACATGTAGCAGGCCCAGTTGTTTAATAGTATTCACGCCTTGGACGCTCTTTTCTCTGCCGTATTCTTCACAGCGCGTGACGGCGTTTGTGATGTGCGAGAGCATGGCCTCTTTGATATCATCGGCATACTGGAAGGCGCCAAAGACGCCGGGGTATGGCACGTCGTAGTTGGTCCTTCCGGCCTGAGTGATGGCGGTATTAAGTTCAGCTCGACTGTGATCGTAGACGTCTTGACAAGTGTCCTCGATGTTTCGATCTATTTGCTCGCTTACTTCGGACCTAGCCTTTCGACTTGAGGCGAGCTGTGGTTCAATTTCCCTGAGTTCAGCAGATACTCTGTCAATCTCTGACTGAGCAACTTCTTCGTTAACCTGAGCCAAACTGTGTATATCATTGAGGATGTTCAACAGATATGTTCTCGCAGGGGCAAGCTTGGATCTCGCCCTCTTTTCGAGAACGAAGCGACGCAGTGATGCTTCCAGGACCTCAAAGTCTCGAATCTTGTCCAGATCTTTTCCTTTGCCCTTTGCTCCATCGTCGCCTGGATCATCGCCGCCACCTCCACCGCTGGAACTGCCGCTTCCGTTGCCACCAGGACCTCCTGGCGGTGCTGGCCCGGCTGGAATAGCATTGCTTGATACGAAGTGAACAAGGTCTGATGATTCTTTACGAGTATCTGGGCTCAGTCCAGAAACTTGATCCAAAATAAGCTTCTGGCATCGCTCCTTGTCTCTGATAGTGTCGTAGCCATTGACGACAATGAATAAGTAGGCCTTCTCAGCGGCGGCTGCGTGTATGAACTCCTTGGCAGACTGTGTAAAATGATTTGCCGCTGAGACAACGAACACAACCACATCAATTTCCTCTTGTCTGGCGAAAATGGCGGTAGTCTTGGTAGTATCTGAGTTGAGACCTGGTGCGTCGATAAGTGCAATGTCGACTACGCCATTGTTGAGCAGAGACTCGTCGACTGTCCGAATATCCTTCACATATACCTTGCACTGAGTATACGTTTCGTTATCTGTTACAATTTTTTCCAGCTCGGTCAAAGCATAAACGTCGTAGGTTGTTTCGTCATGTCTGCTATAGGTGCAATCCTTGTGCACGGCGTGCACTTCCTCAATTCCCGCGTTTTCCCTGGCGTCTAGAACTTCGCAAAAGATGGCTGTGCATGGCTGTTGGTCCTCTGGCAGAACTTTGCGCCGCAACAGGGCGTTGCAAAAAGTCGACTTTCCAGCATTCAAGTCACCCGTGATGAGGACCTTGCTGGAAGTATCTTCGATGCGCTCGCGGAGGGATAATAGATGCCTTATGCTCGAGCTAATTTTGCCGTCCAGAAGAGCCGCAATGGAGTTCTTCTCCAAAGAGTGCACAAGCTCGGCTTGATGCAGGGCTCCTAATTTCAGATCCAACTTCAAAATAGATAATTCCTGCGCAATTTGGGGAGAAACTAGCCTCGGCTCCGGCGCTGGTCGGTTCTTGGCGGCGCGGCTAGACTCAGCGGGTAAAGCATCGACGGAAGTCATAGATCGCCTTAACAACAGAGGCTGGGTGGTGGCTGATGAAGAGCTGGCAGCATCTCCTGAAACTGAGTACGTGCGTCCCATTCCGGGTCTTTCTGAGCTCGTCGCGTCTGCAGGCCGGATGGTCGGGTAACGGGCCGGCCACCCAGTGTTCATCTGTTGAAGACTCTGCAACAAGTCCAAGACCTTGTTGATCGACCTGCCTAGTATCGCGCGTTGGCGGTAGTACCACATCTGATGGCCTGCACTTGCTTTGCCCCGAGCATGCTGACTTGAGTCGGAGGTCGAGTTTGTCGCTGATGTCATGGCTGTATGGTGATCTTCGCCAGCCACGCTTGCTCCATATCCAGAATCGATATCCAGCATATTCTGCAACCGTGCGGCGTGCTCCGACGTCGATCCGGTGCCAACTGTCATGTAGTGAGGTCGACTCGATGATGAGGGACCCGAGTTTTTTGGCGCGTCGGGATCGGGCTCGGAGCGCAGCGGCCCCTTTCCCTTGCCGGTGAAATAATCCTGGCTCATGTCAAAATAATTCAAGCGAACAGCATGGTCGAGTAGGGTGACGAAAGGGTGACCGATGTTGGCAGCGTTGTGGTTGTAGGGTCAGGAATTATTTCGGCGCGAGAGGGTGGGCAGACTGGCAGTTGGCCTTGCAGTTGGCAACTTGGCATGATTTTATCCAAGACGTCCGTCCGGCAATTTCGGGGAGGTGTGGTGAGTAAGGTACCCAGTACATACCCACGCACTTTAGCGGGCAGCAAGTGATGCAGCAAGTGACAAGGCACTGGGCGGGGGAAACGCCGGTATGGGCCCTACAAGAAGTTCCCAGTACCTACTTAAGTAGTTGACACTAGGCGGGACGTCGTCATCGCGCATGCCAGGGCTGCTGCTTTTATTATGACTGGCAGTATTAGCGCCTCGCCTCAACGACCAAGGTGCATGTGGTCTTCAACTTCGTCCGTCTCATAGCTCCAAATTATCTTGTCGACGTAGCGCTGAAAGTCCTTTGCCATTATTTCATTTTGAACGGCCAGCGTGACCTACATACTATTTGTCGATCATAGACGGAGACAGGTGGGAGGATGAAGGGCATATGCCAATATATTGCATATTGCATCATCCCCCCCGTTCGCCGGCTTTATAATTATTGTGCCGCCGCTGCTTGTATACAGTAATATGCACATATACTCTTTGCCATCCTACCAGGCAAAGGACATTGTTGCCCCATATCTTATTCGTGATGGCACATCATCTCGTTCATCGCTGCCGCAATATCTGCTCATGCTCTATCCAAAAATTCTTGCAGGCCCTGTGGCCCCAATGATCTACCCACCATTCCCCGAAGCTGTCTTCAACGTCCACGTCAACCTTTGCAACTCTCTCTTCTCTCTTGAGTCCACAGATAATACACGGCTTAGGCGCGGTCGGGACCATCTTTGCCGTCTGAATTTGTGGGGTTTCTGTAAGCTCTGGCACTTTAATATTGGCCTTGGCAGCAGAGTTAGCCGTTGCCACGGCAGACCGTAGTCTCCCTATATGCTCCCGCCATGCCGCAACCACGTCAGCAGCTTCACGGTCCTCCCGTGCAGATTGTCGTTTATCCACACCTGCCAACTTCATGCCCTTGCTTCCAGCTGCTGAAATTGACATACTCTTGGCCAGCATTTTGTCTCGGTGCCATCGGTGCTTCCGTCCTGCAATCACTCGCGCAGCCGTCGACGCTAATAGAACATATCCCTGAAGAAATTGGATAGTCTTGGGATTCGAGAGAACTTGTTGTTTGACAGATGGACTTTGCCCCGCAACAGACTTGAACAAAGTATTTCCAGTATTAAAGAGCTCTGGGAATGCCGAAAGCAGGATCGAGGGAGGAGGAACATTCGTTGGTGGCGGACTGCTGTCATCTTTCATGGCCTTTGTTGCTTTGCAACCGTCACCGGCATCCCACAGCCACTCGTGCGTCTCTGCACATTCCTGACTAGCATCATTGTCTCCATTGTTTCCGGAGAAATCATCCCAGGCTCCCCATTCGTCATCGTTTGCCGTCGCTTTTGCTAGAGACACCGTCTTCGACACCGGCTCCATTTTCGTAGATGGCATTGAAATGGAACCAGGATCCGCTTTGTGTGCTGATGTTTGGGTTGTCTTCTTGACATTACGTTCAACAAAGCGAGGCTGGTCTTGGTTCGCTGGTGATTGTAGGGGTTGAGGTTTACTTAAAGACATGGCTCCAAAACTTAACGCAGCAGCAGCTGGGCCTGGCCCTTCTTTCGCCACTCGCGGTTTTGTTGCATTTTGCGATTGGGATATTGGAGAATCATCAAGCCCCAGGAGATCAAGAGATGGTGTAAGTTGCGCAGTGGTAGCTGGTGCGGGCTTTGAACGGGGTGTTGACTCGACGGCCTCAAATTTACCAAACTCGTCGAAATCATCATATTCTTCTCCGCCGCCTTGCAGTTCAAAATCGTCCGCATCAAACAACACATTTGGATCGCAATGTGTCGTCTTCATCTGTACCCTAGTCTTTGGTTCTGCAACAGGCCAGGAAGACTGTGGATACTGATCTACTCGACCGCCAAGTGAACCAAAATCTTCAAAGCCGCCGCCGATTAAGCCATTAGCCGGAGCTTGTATTGCTGCAGCAGCATTGCGGCTTATGTCATGTGGCCTAGACTTAAAGGCAGAATAGGAAACCCAACAGTTGCTGCTGGAAACCAGAGGTTGTGTGTTTACTTGAGGCGTTGCGGATGCTTCTGTTGACTGTGCTACTTCAAAGTCCCCCCATCCATCGTCATCATCTGCCTGTTGCGGAACCACGGTTGATGATTGAGAAACGTGTGAGGGTTGGTCCCAAGTACCCGTGCTGTTTGGCATAGCACTTTGAAACGACGTCAATTGTGATGGCGATGAATGCACCGGCACTGCATTGTTTCTGCTGGAGACATGGAAGGGGTCTTGTATGTGGACTTGGTTCTGTATCTGCTGTTGCTGCTGTGGTGGTTGTCCAAAAAGACTGTTCGATTGCGAGGTAGGCGGCGTCGAAGTTGAAGGGTTGCTGAACTCGGCAAAGAGATCTGCCGACATATTTATAAGCTTATGCGGAATACCATGCTCAAGAGAGGCTTGGAGGAGGCCGCGACGGTGAGTTGAAGGTTGTTGATATTACTACGAAGTGGAGGAGTGACGATTGATCGGAGTCGAGAGTCGAGAGATACGACATGGCGTCGTCTGGTCTGGTTTATTTGGTGGGGCAGCAGCAGGCCAGGGCATTGCAGACCACTGGCCGTACTTCTGGGACCACAGCGCCAACAACCCACCTCCGGCCTCTCTCTAGTCATCGTCGCCTCAGCAGCAAAAGCCGTCTGTCCACGAATCCTCCTGGCCAGAAGGTTGCTGCGTGAGACAGGCAGCTTGCCATTTGCTTCCGGTGAACCCGGGAACCCCCATGTCCAGCCACTATGAGATCCGTCCAAGAGACTCGGTGAGACAGCGAAGCGTCTAGTCTTGGACATCTATTGATGTCACCCAAAGGAGCGGGGTGAGCTAACAGACATGACCTCATTAGATTGAGATGGGAAACAACGCAGTCTCATAGCACGAGTCTGGAAGAGTTACAACGGGCTGTTAAAAACAATGGCTCGTCCAGCCCTTGTTTGTCGGGCTGTCGGTCCGTATGCTGGAAGGTATTGACAGTTTTTGAGCCATCATCACCAACATCTCCTTGGGCGACTTGCACCGCAGATTAGCTGATCCATGCTTTTGACCAGATCTTCCTGATGTCCATCGAAGGACGCATAACAAGCTGGGCGGACGCCTTGGAAGAAGGCAGAAAAGACTACCAAGAGCGCAGAGACCATTTTCTCAAGTTTATTCGGCATCCCAAAGCCCTCACCGAGCTCACCGTCGACCCGCTTGCCGATGATCCTGATGTCAGTAATTGCTCGCCCACCTTGTCTGATACTATACTCGCACGCCTACTTACCCAGACCTAGTCACCTTGGAACACAGTAAGACAGGATGAGATAACCCGGACAGAGATTCAGCAAGATGTCCAGCGGCTCCCTGACGAAGTCAATTATCATGAAGACACCATACAAGGCATGATTCTGGACATATTGTTCATCTACTGCAAAGTCAACCCCGACAGAGGCGGATATCGCCAAGGCATGCATGAGCTTCTTGCACCAATAGTGTATGCCCTCGAACAAGATTCAATCGACACAAGGTCCGCTGGTAACGATGCGTGTCTTGATGAGAAAATGTTGCACGTACTGGACTCTGCCTTTATAGAGCACGACGCTTACATCTTGTTTTCAAAGCTCATGGAGCAGGCGCAGTCATTCTATGAGGTTACAAATGGAAGCACGCCATCAAATCACGGTAGCCAACCAGTGATTCTGCAAGAGCAGCAATCTGCTATTGTCGAGCGAAGCAGGTTCATCCATGAGATTTGTCTGCAGAAAGTCGATCCGGAACTCGCAGCTCATCTCACAAATATAGAGGTCCTGCCCCAGATCTTCCTGATGTGAGTAGAGCCACTTTTTGTATAGCTCTAAAAGAATTTTTAAGCTAACCTGGATTTCTGCAGCCGATGGATACGACTCTTATTCAGTCGCGAATTCCCATTCAACCAGCTTCTTGTGTTGTGGGATACTATGTTTGCAGTGGATCCCTCACTCGAGCTGATAGACCTGGTCTGTGTTGCCATGCTGGTCCGTATTCGTTGGCAGTGTACGTCATCCCTGGATTGTGGCTATTCAATGACTGATGTGTAAAATGCAGTGCTGGAAGCCGATTATTCTGTCTGTCTACAACTTCTTCTAAAGTATCCACCCCCAGAACCTCCTCATGGGCCACACACATTTGTCGACGACGCTGTGTATCTACGAGACCATTTAGACTTTACGGGTGGATCCAGTCTCATCATGAAATATACCGGAAAGATTCCCGAGAACCCAAATGACATCAAACCGACCCGGCCAAGTAGTGGTGCTGACCCTGAAGCCAACTCCGTTCGTCAACGGGGCGGCCGGCCACCTACATCACCCTCTAGGCTTACCCAACAACCGCCCAGCATGGAAACTTTCTTCCAGGGAGCCGCTAGAGGCGCCAACCGTGTCTTGGAAAGAAGTGAAAAACTGGGCATCAATCAAGCAGTCCGTGATGCCATGGGAGAAATCAGACGCAACGTGCAAAGCTTTAATGAAGCCCGGCAAGCACAAAGGTCTCCAAGACATATTCTCAGTGACGAAGGCGCTTCCAAGGCACTGGCAGCCATGGAAAGACGCAACAAAGAGCTGGCTGGCCTGCTGAATGATACAGTTACGAACCTCAAGACGTTATCCCTGTCGGGGTTTGAGGATGAGGCTAAGAGCCTGGAACTCATCGAGGTGGCGGCCGCCAAGATCCAGTTTGTGCAGATCTACCTGGAAGATTCTACCCTGGATGTTCCCGTCTTCTCAACACCGAAGAACAAACCGGCATCGTCGCCAGAGGGAAAAGAAAAGGCAGTCGAGGAGGCCACAGAGACCAAGGCGACAACAGCGAACCGAACATACGGGACGCCAGCGACTAGCTCTGACTCACCAACGCCGGACATTTCAAAACTCGTAATAAACGAAGAGAAGCGCAGCTCTAAGAAAGACGCCGCAGATCCGGAAAAAATGGATGCAAGTCGGGACGACCAGCCCGGAGAAGCGTCGCCCTCCGACCCCCTCGGAAACAACACTGTCGAGGTCCGGCCCGCCCCCGTCCCAACCCGCTCGACGCTTGCCCAATCATCCTTCTCCTGGATGCTAGAACCAGACGAAACAACACCCTCTCGCGCCCCGGCAGCAAGCAAGTCCCCGACCACGCAGCATAGTAAGAGGCATTCGAATAATCTGAGCCGAGAAAGGAATGCGTTTCTGTTCGGCGAGATAACTGCCGATGCCACCGACGGGAGCGCGCCCTTGAAAACAGATGACATATTTGGGATGGAGCCCATTGCGAAGCCCAAGGGCAAGACGCAAGGCTTGTTTCATGACAAATGATAAAACTGTACTGTTTCTGACTAGATGTTTGATGGATGTATAATATCATACACACGTTTTTATGTACAACCAACACGCTGCGCTATGCACACATCGTCTATATATCCAGTGCCATGATGCAACTTCCACTTCTTCTTTCCCCTAACAGACAACAGAAATAAAACGATGCGAACCTCATCACTCATGGACCCCGCGCCTACCTATAAGTTGTTGGCGTGAACTCGGTGGCGGTAGCTTGGTTGTTCTGGTCGGGACAACAAGGTATCCCTCAGTATTACAAGACACCTATATATCACATTCGATACTTGGATGCTGTAACATGTTAGAACACGGTATACTTGTGACCTATATACACAACCTCCCAGAGCCTGGAATTGGACTGCAATGATGATGCCTCGTGAAAGAGCGACCTGTCGATTTGCAATATGTAAATTAACTCCCGAGGGAGTTGGCCACCGCCGAACCCCCGAGGTAATTGGAATTGATACTTGATAACCGGTTTTCGGCAATTTCTCTGAAATGAAGGGGCGGCGGAGCGGACATTATAAGACACCCGCGTATTCCCTGCGCATGACTTGAAGTTGACTACTTCTACTAGTTCTGCTGACAAATATTCAAATGTGCGTTTGCCTAGCAGCAGGTCTCAAACTCAATTATAATAGGCAAGGCAAGGCAATGACCCCCTAAAAGGGCAGGGAGAGAGATCTTGCAATACTGTACCATAATTCATCACCATATTGAAGCCGAATCGAATCATGTTTCACTGTACTCGGCGGCCGACCCAGAGTCAGTTAGAAATAATCTCTCACGCATCGTATGAACATGGAGGCAGCTGCAATATGTTGCCGTTGTCTATTCCGTACAACACCTCCCTTTATATCGTGAGTCCACACACATTGCTGCAACGACAGGCTTCAGACGTTCTCATATTGCTTCCCCGACCTAGGATATTGGTGCGGGGAAGCGGATGTGTTGCCATTGAAGTTGGTGTACGGGTGGCTGAACCGGCCAACAATGTGTCGGGACTCAAGAAGTATTGTTAACATACAACATTATACCGCGTATCGTGTAACTAGGAGTTGCAGCCTGGTCTGGCCTCCGTGCCCTTGCTTGAGGACGAGTTTGCTTTTCCCATGCGCAGATCCGGCTCAGCTAACACCTAATTCGACTTAAGAGGACTGTGATCAATGTGTTGAAATGCGGCAAAAATGGGCTATAATAAGATGGCAAAACTTTATTAGTTTTAGCCGGCGCTGTTGTGTCAGATTTCAAAGCACGGTCCACCCATGCGATGTACATATTGGTTTTCAGATCCAGGTGAAGAAAAGGCCAACTACTCCGTACGTGGTAGCTCGAGGCCGGGCCATTCCTGTGCGTCAAGACGAAGGGACGTGTCTCAGTATTCTAATGCCATCGCGTGTCTGTACAAGCGGCGGGAGGATCGCGCTTGGCTGGGGTTGTGAGACCTGAGACGGCAATCCCCGTACTTGAAGATGAAGCATTACTACTAAGCACTGCGTCCTCCGCGCTCCATATGTGTAGTACCAGTTGGTGTCTTTGTTCTCTGAGAAGCTCCATGACGTGTCCCTTGAGGGGCATGGTAGGGCTTGTTGTGTCTCCCGGCCGCAACAGAGCACAGACATTGTCCCTATTGAATTGGTTGCATACATAACTTACCTACTCAAACAAAGTGCTTTAACGGCCATGAAAGAGGTCCAACTAGGCGTGAAGCTCTGGTGTATCTACTTCCCGGCGCTTGGATCTTCATCTTGATTGAGCTAGGACTCCGTAGATCCAAGAAAGTCCTTTTTGATGTGTCGAATGCAAATGTTGATGGCACACCCTTGACGAGCATCGTTCAGCAGCCAAGGAGTACTTGACTGGTGATGGCGAAGAGGACAAAAGTTGCAGACGCATTGATGATCGGCGCTATCTAGCAGGACCGGCGGCGGTAGGGGACCAATAACGGCGACTCATTGTGCAGGCCTTGGTGAAATGAAGAGGTTGGATAATAACTACTACAAGACGGAGTGCAATCTAGATAGTTCCTCATGCCTCTGCACATGGGTGGAGGCATGCAGTAATTGGTTAGTTTCTGCTGGAGCACCGTTGCTCCTGCTCATTTTGCGTGCATTATGCCCTGACTACTCCGTAGAAAAGTACGGATGACGCACCCGGTGGGCTTGGCAAGTGCCTCCGCCAAATGTGGCACTCCGTGTTTTGTACCAGACGTCACCTCTCCCTCCACCAGTACCAAATCAAGTTATAACTACAACTTATTACTATTAGCATAATCATCACCACCACTATCATGCCGAGGTTCGGAGACCGTACTACAACACGGGTTCCGGACTTTTAAGGGATTGCAATACGAGGACATGATACGATACCAGACGCCTTGTGCGGAGAATGCACTGCTCCGATCGACTGCGTGGCTGAGGGGCCGCGCACTTGGTGCGCGTTCAGTGGCTCGGTGGCGCGGTGGCTGTCTCACGACCCGATTCGGCTCAGGGGGGCTCAGGTGCAGATGGTCAACCCAGCTGAGCCCAGGCCACCGTTGACGGTGCATGCCAGTGCAAGGCTCAAGTGCTCGGTAATTAGTATCCAGATGTCTCCCTACAGGGCCGCAGGGGCAGGCAAGCAGGACATCTGCATGAAATGCTGCAGGATGCCGGCTACAGGCCCAACCCCAGCAGCGCATGTTCGTCATTGAACCCCAGCTTGACCAGGCCTCCAATTATGCATTTGATGATTCCAGGGCCCAGGGCCGAGAGGCCCCGAAGGGGCCGGCGCCGTCGACGTATCCGCTCTCCATCGTGCATGTCCAGTCGTGTCGGTGACAAGCAAAAAAAAAAAAAAAAAAAAAAAAAAAAAAAAAAAAAAAAAAAAAAAAAAAAAAAAAAAAAAAAAAAAAAAAAAAAGGTCCTGCTGCTAGTCGACCAGGGCCCATGGATATCTAAAACAGGCCCTCGGGCTCTTACCTCATGTCGATGCAGGACGATTAGTCCGTAATTCCATCTGTTCGTCCCATCCAACGCCCTTCCTTCACCCCTAGATGCAGCTGGTACATCGTGGCCACGTCTTCCTCGATATACCAAGAAGCTCGAGGCTCCTTGTTTCAATCTTGCCGCTGATCGCACGACTTGAGCATTGAGCCGTTGGCGTACTTTGCGCCGTTACGACTTCCGGTGGAGGGCCATTTTGGGTAGACACCACACACGTCCAAGCCCCAAATCATCGTGCCCCTGAGGCACTCGATCAACGTAAAAACATGCTGAGCCTACAAGATGCTGCCCGGTCGCCGCCTGTCGGTGGAACAGGTGGACGATCACGATATTCAAAAGCGCTACCGTCCGTCCCTGTTGCCGACAGTCAAGGTGTCGCTGGCCTTCCACCGCTCCCGCTACCGAAAGGCCAGTCTGAATTTCAGTTCCCTCTTCCCCCGCGGAAATCGTCTCGTGCAAACGACAACAACAAGGGTGGCAAAAGTATACCCAGAAAACCTGTTGGCTCATCGGCATCGAAGCACGCTGCACCACCGTCTGGCGCGCCCAACATCATCAATTCACCGCCTCTCTCGACTCCGTCTCCGGCCGGCTCAATGGCGATGCCCAGAGAAGCGGTTGCAAGAGTGCCAGAACCACCAGCACAGCCCGTTCTCATTGTTCCTCCCGAGTCCTCACCTACAGATTCACTATCCAGTCTGTTGTCCGCGTATTCTCGAGAACCCGATGCCCCCATGTCCGGTAGCACTTACACGACAGCAAGCACAGTCAACACCCTCCATGACTCTAGTCTCAGCCCGTCGCTGGGCAAAGACGGACCATCAGCTGGCGGCCACACTTATTCACAAACACATGTGTCTGCTGTGAAAAGTGAGCAAAGTCCTGAACACAAGGCCCTGCGCCGCCCTGCGCCGCCTCTAAAGGACGATTCATCTCATCCGAGTTCGTCGTCCCCGAAACTGCTGCCCGTTGCACCGCTATCTGAAAAGGCCTCAGCTCCACGGCCTGAAATTTGGAAGCGTCGACCACATACCGCCGAGAAGAACAAAGAGCTTCCCGATTTAAAACTAAGCCATAGCCACGGTTCGACTGCTTCGACCTCGACAATTCAGTCCATTGAAACCGCTGTGCTTCTGGCCTACGCCAACACAGGCTCCGAATCCAAGCCCACAGAGGAGCCGAAACAAGACGCAATAACGCCTCTTCCAGCCCTCGGCTTGCCCGGCCGTAACGTCAAGCCAGTGTCTGACGAGAAGAACCAAGAAACAGAAAGGCAGATGGGGAGTATCGGCTCAAAGGTGCAGGACATGGTGGGAAAAGCCCAGAATTCCCGTACCCCGGTGGATCGCAAGGACTTGCCTGCTCGCCGAGATAGCACGCGACCACCCACGCCGGAATACCGAAAGGGAGATGCCAGTCCTCCATCTTCTCAGGCTGACACTATCGCGAAGCCTGCCTCGCCCGTCTCAGCAACCGGATCGCTAAAGGAAGGAGTCTTGTCTACTGCATCCAAATCGCCACCTCCGCAGCCGACCGCGCCGTCGAAATCGGAACCAGTCGCGCCGAGTCTTGTTTCTGTTCCTCCTATTGCTTCAACATCTGCGAGCAGCCTCCCCCAAGCCGCACCGGACCTTCGCCTCGCTACAAATCTTCTAGAAACGAAACGGAGCAGTCCCTCTCCGCCAAGAGAAAAGTCTCCCCCTGCCAAGACACAATCCCTGCCTATGAATGACAGCAACCGTGTCATCAGTGCTTCGTCGGATTCAGCGTTGAGCCGCACGTCATCTGATCAAAATGGTGTAGGCCCCAGTGGCGAAGAACTTCAAAGGCCTGCGACAGCCACCGGCTCATTCGACCCAAGGATTGTCACTTCAGATACACACGGACCCATGTACCGAGGACGTGATGGGACTCTATATCCAGAAATGAAGGTCGTGCGAGAGCCAGACCCCAGAGCAGCATACTTCCCTATCCAAACGGACAAGCCTCTGCAACCGGGCTCGATAATTTCTTCGAGGCCTCTCAACCAGACACATTACAACTGTTTCCAGAAGCATCGAACCATGAATCGCAGGTCGAACCGAAATTATCCGCTCACTTGTCAAACGTGTGACAAAGCTGATACAGAGGACCGTTGGGTATGCACATTCTGTCATCTGCGCATATGTGAGGCATGTTTGCAGGGACTAAACGGGCACCAAAAGGTGCTTAAAAGGTTGGTAGACCAGCTTCGAGCAAACACGCCTGTCAGCTTATCGTCAGCGTCGCCGCCTGGATCTGCTCTTGGCATCGAGCTCCCTGCTTAGGGGCCCACGGCAATGAAGGCACTGGTTGCCCGAATTTTAACAATATTTTTTGTTCGCCCTTCTTTGTATTACTAAAACGACCGCATTTTCCTACTAGTCCGGTCAGCTCACGGGGGCTCTTCAGCCCAGCTCACGACCTCTTTGAGAATCTCGTTACGGTTATTATCATGTATGTAGAATGAGAAGCTGTCAATGGCTGGATTTTATAGACGAAGATCTGCTGCAACAGATTACGTTTGACTTCACGTTGGAGATACCTGCATTTTGGACAGCCTTGAGGATCGAAAGGCTTGGTTTGTTTTTCTTGGAATCATATCAATAGTGGATGGAGTAATATCGGATATCACCACCTGGGGGCGTGCGCTGATTGTCTATTTTTCAAATTCAAGAGTAGGTTCATAGGTTCTTAGGTTCGTAGGCGAGGATTTACATTCAGATTTGGCTCATCGTAGGAATTGACTGAATATCTCATGCCAAGAGTTTTTCCATGAGCCTAGTGAAACTCGTTAATGTGGTGTGTAAAGGACAAGTTCTGGGAGCTATAGATGAGACTTGCGGACTGAGTGGGTCCCGCCGCCGTATAATAACTGGGGCGGCCAGAGCAACAAACCAGACAACTGCTGGTAACAAACCAGGTAACTCAACTTCAATCGGTCTGGTACGTATGCAGTCTCATCGCAGACCCAATACAGCTTCCCCTGACATGAAGCTGCCATCATCAATACCAACCGGCGGCCATGTCCTCTCTGCAACGGACTCGCTCCTTGCGTAAACCAACGATACCACCTCCCGCGGAAAAGACGGTCAGACCTACCGCCACGGATGCAGCGCGAAGCGGCTCCCCCAGCCGATTACCATTGAAGCCATTCACACAACCTCCATCCGCCACTCTACCAGGCTCATGCGCAACAAACACCATCACAGCAGCGTCGTCGTCCCGGAGCAGCAGGCCTGCCCCGACCCCACCGACACGCTCAACCTCGCTGTCTTCAAGGGCAAATGGAGCCTCTGCGGGAGAAACGGCCAAGAAGGAGACCTCTCGCTACCCCCCGCCAAGCGGTGCGAACAGAGCAGTGGCCAGGACCCGACCTACGTCCGCAGGCAGCGGGAGCGCAGAACCTGCGCGGCGCGCCCCGACGCATGTTCGTGCTAAGAGCACGGTGACGAGCCTAACACCCGCCACGTCGTTGCGGCCGCCGTCGAGTGGCCGAGTTGCCAGTGGTGGTAGCCAGACGACGAAGACGACGACGACGACGACGGCAGCCAGAGGCGGCCGCAGTCGAAATGTATCCGTGGACAGAGGCCCGTCTACACCCGCGAAGCCAAGCGTCGCACCAACGGCCGCGGCAGCAAAGGCACAACAAGCTCAACCCCGACTGCGACCTGCCTTCTCAACGCTGCAGCAGCACTACTCGCCAGCAAAGTCGCAAGCCCCCAAGCCGCTGACATCGGCTATCATCGCCCCGCCATCCCCGTCAAAACTACCAGCCAATATCGCTGCGTCGGCCGAGACAAGCAGGTTGCAGGCCGAGCTTCTGCAGCTGCACCTCCTCCACCGAGACTCGCAAGCAGTTCAAGCGCAGTGGCACGCCAGCGCCAAGGCGAAACTCGGATCCCGCTTCGAAGAGCTCAGCCGAGAGAGCAGGGGCGTGTCCGAGAGGGAGAGGTTCGCCGTGGAAAGCGACAACATCCTCGCTTTGAGACGCTGGGCACGCAGCGGCAGGTGCGGGATAGAAGAGAAGATCCAGTCGCTGGATGAAATCTTCACCGGGCTATGGACGCTCAGTGAGCCTGCAGGCCGGTACGCGAGGGTGGTGAAGCGGTTTGAACGCTGGGCCGACCACATGTGTGACGCGGAGGAGGCGAGACACGATGCGGGGAGGACGCTGGTCCACGGCCATGAGTCGTTATTCGTCGGAGAGCTGGATGCTGCTTGGAAAGAGGAATGTGCCGGCCTGACTAGACGTTTGGAAACTTGGAGGGCTCGCCTCGCTGAGATAGATGATTTGCCGACACGGGAGGGCGTAGCTACGACCGAGGTGTCCAGTTTGGAGAGGATGCTCGCTGGGGCAGGGAACCTCGTGCACGATATGCTGACCGAGTTACATGCCATGGAGGAGATTGAGCAGCAGGCATTGGCTAGGGAGAATGAGTGGATTGAGAGGGTGAATAGGGAGGGCGATGATGACATTGATACCCCGAGGGCTGGAGCTGTATGGCGAGTGATTTGACATGAGACTTTTTGACGATGAAGCGACCTCACTTGTACCGGGTACTTGTATAACTCTACCATGTCTTTCCGATAATAATGAGTCATCGCCAATAGAACGCGAGAACTGATGGGGAAAAAAGACGATATTATCCTTCATAACTTATCAGAGACTGCTCTAACATAGCTATGCAGCAAAAAAGTTAAGTAACCTTGAGCCGACAAGATGTTTCGCACATCTTCCGGTCCACTCCGGGCCTTTTCAGAATATGACTCGAATCAAAAGACTCCAAAAGGGCAGATTGAATGAAAGGGCCAACATTCTAAATCCTCCTGCTATAGCCAGGGCGGCGTAATATCATCCGCACTCATCTGTATGATTGACCAATAAAGCTTGTTGCGTGGTACGCATTTTCTCGTCTTTTCTTTTCAACGTCGTCTTGCTCATAAGCGTACGTTTTCCAATCCTCCATTCGTGCAGCCAAGCGTCTTCATGTGTGATCTCCTCTGAAACATCTCCCACTACAGGAACGCCTTTCTGGGGAAACCGACGCCCTCAACAGCAGGCTCGTCTACAAACCAGCTGCATCTGTCGCCAGAGGCCTCGTTGACCAATGAGCAGGGCAGAGTGGGCTCGAGGGAGTCAAAGATTTCTTTCATGATATCCTTCTTTCCACCACCTGTAGCGACAAATGCCACGCGAACGGCGTGGGTGACAACGGGCAGAGTGAGAGTGATTCTCTTGGGAGGGGGCTTAGGAGAATCTTCGATGGGGGCGACCCAGGCATCGGTCTCGCGAAGGAGAGGGTGGCCAGGGAATAGGGAGCAGGTGTGGCCATCCGGGCCGCAGCCTAGGAGGATGAGGTCGAAGATGGGGAGGCGAACAGAGTCGCGGCTTGCAAAGCTGCCGACTAGGGTCTTTTCATACTGGTCGGCAAGTTCTTGGGTATCGTTGAGATAGGTGGTGTCTATGGGATGGACGGTAGGTTGCTGGTCGGCAGGAATCTTGTCGAGGAGCTCGGATTTCAAAAGGCCGTAGTTGGAGTCGGCGTGGTCCAGAGGCACAGCACGCTCGTCGGCGAAGAATATCTCCCACTTGGTAAAGTCAATCACATCTTCGGGGCCACTCGACGGGGCGAGAAGAGCCTGTGAAAGGGTCTTGGGCAAGGAGCCGCCTGAGACGGCCACTTTGAACGAGTCGTGACGTGAGAAGCCGGCATTTTGGCTCTGTACCACGTAGCCGCGGAGGGCTGCTGCCAGAGAGTCGATGTTGCCAAAGGCGTAGAGGTTGGGCTGCGTCTTGGGCATGGTGACGGGAACAGAAATGCAAATGATTGTCCCGCGTCTGGAAAAGAAAGAAGAACACTTGTGGTAGAGTCGGATGTCACAAGGATGCGATGCAGACGATGATGCAATTTGTCTGCTTCGGCTGTGGCGGCGGTTCGAGTAGTAGCTATTGACTCGATGCTCCAAGGATGACGTAAGACCGTTTTGCCGGAAAAAGAAAAAGAAGAGGGCAACAGCTGCTCGCAGACACGGATCCAGGTGACAGACCTGTGGCGGCGGAGGAAGGAGTGGTGGCGAGAGGTGAGGGGAGGTCAGAATGAAGGATGTGAAGATGCGGGCTGCTTGACGCTCAAGTCAACTTTAAAAGTCGCAACATGAAGGCTTGAAGCTTGATTCCTGATGGCGGGGTTGACGGTTTTGGTTGAGCAGAAGAAATGGCGGGGTTCCTGGAAACAAGAACCCGGCTCTGAAAAGATGGAACATTACGCCATTTACCTCTGTAGGGTTTACTCCGTATCACGGTATCAGTCATGTATCATGTACAGAACATCGGCAGCGGGTCGATATGACTTGCATTTGTGATGATGCAAGGACCGAGTGCTGACTGACCGACTGACTGAAGGTATGAATTTGGCCCAGCTCCAATCAAAGGAGTGAGCACAACGCAACGTCGGGAGCATCCGAGAAGACCATGCGACCTTGAGTGTTGCTTGAAGTAACCTTGTGCATTCCTCAAAGTAGTTTGGCACCTCGCATACCTCAGTACGTACATACAGTATGTTGGAGGTTATTTCTAAAGTGAGTTTTGGACAAACCACTGCTGCCTCTTTGTCAAATCGGCGATATCTGCCAAGTTTTACGAGATGGAGGGTTGATACTAGCCCCCGATGACTGAGATTGTATATTAGGTATGTGAACCCGTACTCATGTCACCTCATTGACACTGGCGGTCAAGCGTCGGAGTCATGGCCGTGGTTGAAGCTTCAGGATGCAGGATGTGGCATTTCCTTGCGTGCGGGTGCCGATTTTCTTCGGCTATACGGAGCGAATGTTGATGCAGGACTATAATGCCATAACTAAGCGGTGTCGCTCTCTGCACCGAATGCGCGTTGAGTTGCCGTTGAGCAAATAGTCGGCTACGAATTGACTTGAAGTAGTTGTCTCAATTTATGTCTGCGACACAGACACACTGACTGAGATTGTATATTAGGTATGTGAACCCGTACTCATGTCACCTCATTGACACTGGCGGTCAAGCGTCGGAGTCATGGCCGTGGTTGAAGCTTCAGGATGCAGGATGTGGCATTTCCTTGCGTGCGGGTGCCGATTTTCTTCGGCTATACGGAGCGAATGTTGATGCAGGACTATAATGCCATAACTAAGCGGTGTCGCTCTCTGCACCGAATGCGCGTTGAGTTGCCGTTGAGCAAATAGTCGGCTACGAATTGACTTGAAGTAGTTGTCTCAATTTATGTCTGCGACACAGACACACACAGACACACACACACACACACACACACACACGCTCACTCACTCACGTTCAAGGCATGTGAGAAGGCGGGGTAGTTTTGAAGGATCAAGTCGATGAGTGATGCAATGTCAACCAGTGTCTCTGTGCCCTGCCCCTCATTTGACGTTGGCATCATGCCAAATTAAATTGACCAACGTCTCCAGAGCGGTGAATTGGATGGTTTGACGGAGGAGGATATCATATATCAGAAGGCATTGGTGCACCGGCCGACAGGGTGGTGTGGGATTTCACGCTTCGCGGGCCGCGTACATACATACATACATACCTACCTAGGTAGGTTGGTTACAAGAGGGCCTTGCTTGCACTCAAGTGCGCATCTGGTGATGGTGGCAAATATTGCATGCAGGTGCAGGAGCGCTTGAGCTAAGCAATGGTTGTACCTGGTGTTTTGTCTTTAATGTTGAGAGCACCTACCATCGATGTCCTGGCGTATCCATGGCGCAGCACTTGAGATAACTTGGGAGGGGTCGTGATATGGCATCATTCACAACTACCTAGATTTCTTCTGTCTATACACTCCTTTCAAATATCGAAAGAATCGTTCTAGACGAAAGGAGGATGTGCATAGAGACACATACATAAGGAACCTACCTACTTAAGTTAGGTAGGTAGGTACCTAAGAAACTAGTAGCTTCTGTGGTCACTGGCGTATGTACCTGCAGTCCGGACTTTGTCAACCGGTACGGTCTGGTGCAGATGCTCCATCGTCCCACTGTCTCTGGGCCACACTCCACTCAAGTGCTCTCTGAGCGCGCTGAACATTGAAGGTGCTAAAGAACCTCCCGTGCTTGGCTCCAACCTGGCACTCACACTGTAGCAATGAGTCCAATGACCCATCAACGGAGGCCAGTTGGCAGCATTCATGTTCACATCAATTGAGACTTAAGTATACTGAAACCACCTGTTCCATGGCTACCTTGCCTAGGCAGATATCTGGAAGATACGGAGAAGAATTTTCAAACCCAAGACCAAGTTTTAGTATTGGCGTGTCTAACATTTGGCTTGAGCCACCCGACTCCACTAGTGCGAACTGGCCTCATCCAACGAAAGTCGAATATCAGGGATCTGCTCCCCTATGCCAGGGCTGACATGGATGGCCTGCGCCACATTTCACGACACATGCAAGTTCTCGTTTTCCTCCCACGCACACGCACACGCCTACGCCTACACCTACTCCGTAATACAGGACAGACGGCAGCAGGACAGGCAGGCAGCATCTCCTCCCCATGGCCCCAAGCGGCTGTCTTCTCTCGAACCGCCTTGTCTCTGGGCCCTTGTCTGGGCACCAATGCCCACGATAACTTCTGGCCTGTCAAAGGTCACTGATCTCCACGGGTGGCAGCCACACGCTTGCATCGGCAACGGCTGGTGTTGGCAAACAAACTCTGAGAAGGGGCACAAAAAAAAATGGTACAAAAGTCTTTTGGACCCTGAATTTGTTCTGTTCTCCGGGACCCTGAACAGAGGGGTATGTACATACTACACACTTGCTCGATGCCCCCGACCCTGGGTCCATCTGGTCCATCTGGTCCATCTGGTGGTCCATCCGGAGCCAGATTGGTAGTTGCCCCAAGTCTGAATCTGGTGCCACTGAACCACCTGGCCTGGGGCCAAGCCGTTGTTTTCATTCTTTTCCACCTTCTCGATCCATCTCCCGTATACTCCGTAATCTTACACCTGTAGTCTATCACTCACCAGGAGTGGTTCAGGACATTTGCTGGTTCATAAACTACTTAAGTAGGTACGTGGAGCTGATACACCTGTAGGCTGTCATCGTGCCGTTCCCCCCTTAACTGTTTGACCCGTCATGCTGACCTTGCCGCATAGCCCGAGGCGTTTTGCTATCAAGGCAAGCCTACTGCAACTCCTCTTTCTCCCCTACGCTTGTGCCTACATCTCAAGTACGCCCTTGACTTCCTGCTGTATGGCTGTGCTATAAACAGACCACCACCGATCCTGTGGAGCTTGCCTTCGATAGTTCACCAACCCGGAGACCAGGGGACTATCCCACGACATAGCTCCAAGGGTGTTGTAAAACTCTTGAAAAGAGACCCAATCATAGTTCCGGGAGAATACTGCGGCTGAGAAATTGCCTCGGTTACCGGGAGCCTTGACTCTGCGGACCCAACGACTCATTTCATGTCTCGAAAGGAGGACAGTGTTGAACAACATGGACGACGTTGACCTCCGAGAGCAGTTGCTTG